GAATTCATCATACCAATCAATGATGCTTTTCAAAGAGTGACTTCTATTACCATTCTAAAGCAGGCTTAATCATGATTAACTAGGCAAAGTAACCATTCTAACTGAGCCGTGTAACTTAACGAATTCTCATTATACCCCACCCCCAAAATAAAAATGAAAAAAAGGGGGGGGGGGGCAAAACACAGATAAATTGTATGAAAGAGGAAATCTTATTAGATGAAACATCCAGGTAAGGTTACTGCACTCAGCATATCAAATTGAAGAGGACACACATCATAGCTTCACTACAAGTTCAACATTTAAAATTACACAAAGCTCATCCAACATCCATAAAGAGCTTATTAAACTCAAGTACGAGAAGGGAAAAATCAAACACAAAGAAGAGCCAATGTTTATCTGCCACCACACGTCCACCTGCAAGATATGTCATCCAATGAAAAGTGACTCAATGATGCAATCAAGATTAGGAAATTACCTACTAGAATTTTTGCAAGATCACACTCCAATTCTTAAATTATCAACATCTTTTAATTCAGATGTGGAGGATCTAAATTTTATTCCTATAACCAATCAATTATAGATAAAAAGAAACAACATGGTTGGTTCCTCTTTAAATTGAATTATTCATAAACAAATTGCAAGGGGAAAAAAAAAAAAGGAAAGAAGAAGCAAGCATTGATTTACTTGGCAAGATTAGAATCCACAGTCCTACACAAGCTCAAAAGTATTATTTTTATGGTTGGAATTATTGGATATTCATTCCAGAGATAGAGCTTAACAATCTCTAAACTTTGATGGATAATCAGCAAAGCGGAGAGGAACAGATATTAATGTTTTTCCAATGACAAAGTTACAAATGAAATACAAATTCCACTAAAAGAAAGGACATTTATTCATCTCCATTTCCCAAATTTCCCACATCAAAGCAAGAAAAGATGGAAATATTTTGATACCCAATGCCAACCATATTTGACAAATCAACCAGAACAAAAAATTGAAAATTCTAAGTAATTTCCAGCAACCCGCATGTAGAATTAGGTAGGCATTCAACCTTAGATTCCAAACGAATTGAAGAGCAAAGGTGAATGAGAAATGACCTGACCTGACCTGAGTCCTCAGTGAGAGTGCGATGAGGAAGAGTGATGGTGAGAAGATGAAGAAGGAGCGTTGAGCCTGTTGTAGACCTGCTCGCCAACGAGGTAGATGCCAAAGGCGACAAGGGCGATGCCGAGACCAGGAGTGGCGTGGCGGAGCTGGTTAGAGAGCATGGGATGCTTCCTCCATTCGTCCCTTCTCCTGAAGAACTCACCCGTCGGTCCCAGCGGCTTCGCCATTACCGGTCTCTCTGCAGTCTGTGTAAAGGGAAAAGTGTAGGGTTTTTGGGCGAACCAATGCTATTGCCTACTGAAATTGGGAAATTACAATGTTTGTTTGGCTCAGATCAGAATAGAATTAAAATTTAAAAAGTTGCAAAACAACGCATAAAAGTATCAAACCCCCCAACCTTATGAAATTTAAAACTTTTAGCCCCCACACCTTATGGCACCTGTCCTTACCAGCCACCAACTCGACGGGAAAGCAAAGGCCCAAAATTAACGGTAAATAGGAACTGTGTCACGCAGACGGTAACTTTTCCGTCACCCCTTTATTATTATTATTATTATTTTATATTATCTCATAATAATTCAAACTTAAAAATAAATTATTTTTAAGTTTATTCTTCTTATTTTTTGTTGTTTAAACACCGTTAAAAAATAAATTAAAGAAATTAATAATTTAAATAATTTAATAATTATTTTTTTCACAAAAAATAAAAAATCTTAAATTTAAATTATATAACATATAAGTGAAATGAAATAAAAATAAAATATAATTATTTTTTATTATGAATCAAAATAAAAAAAATCAGGGAAAATAAATTTTGGTTAAAGAAAAATAAAATTTCCAACCTGGAAATTAAATTCTCCAAAAACACGCGGGGCCGGCCGGCCGGAAATTACCGTCAAACGGACTTTCTGGTATTGCCACGTCTGCGAAATTTTGCAAATTTAAGTCCTTTGACTTTAATGACCAACATAAATTAGTCTCACTAATTTCTATAGTGTTCAATAAGGTCCCCCTGTAGTGTAGTTAAAGAAATCTAGCATCTCTTACTTCTAAACAGCACGCCCGTTGATGCATTTTCCTTACTTCAAACAATAAAAAATATTTTTCATAAAAAATTTTCTAAAGTATTTTAAATAATAAAAAATATATTTTTCATTAAAAATATTTTCAACAATGAAATCATTTTCCGCCACGGACCTTAAGATTCCAACCATCCAATGAACGTAACCTTACTGGAAGGTAAAGATTGTATGATAGAGTTGCACGCATACGATCTCTTCCCAGCGCTTTGTGAGTATCGTCTATCTATTTGTAGGTAATTGTACTGTAGGAATCGAGCTCCAAATTATTCAGTTTCGCTCTTAATTTGCTTTTGCATTTTCATCTCATTTCTGTGTGTGTGTGTGTGCGTGAGCGGGGATAGAGCAGAGAGATAAGGATGGGGCTCCCTCTTCTTCTTCAACCCAACTACGTTTTCTGTTCTTCCAATTTGAGTTTGTTGTTTCCAACTACACGGTCCTACTCCCACCATCCTCCTCCTGTTCCTGTTGCCAAATCTTCCCATCTGTTTCAACACTTGAACTTCCCCTCACAAGGCAACTCAAATCAAATCAAAACTTTTTCATTTTCAATTATTTAAATAAAAAATGGGTCTTTCTTATTTCCCACTCTCATAAATATTAATTTTTGATTGTTTGGTGTTGGTGTTCTTCAGGAGGGCAGCGGCGGCACCACCACAGAGTAGAGTTGAGAAATAAGTCCAGGATTCGTACCATTACTTGTTCTGCCAAACTGGATAATGTGAGTGAGTGACTTGAAGAATCTAAATTGTAAATTCAATGCATCAACATGGGAAGGGAGGGAGATGGGTTTGTTTGTTTTCTCTCTATTTTTCACTCTCTGTTTGTTTGTATTGTATTTTATCAACAGGGGTCGGAAACTGTGAAAGAAAAAAGTGTTTCAGTCATTCTTTTGGCCGGAGGGAAGGGCAAAAGAATGGGTGTAAGTCTCTCTATTCAGATATTATTAAGTAGTTATTTCTTCTTTCTTTTCTTTATTGTAATAACAATTCATCCTAAATTCTACTGCACATCACTGCTAATAATAATAAATATAGAATTGCAAATCTTCCAGGCTTGACCCTAAGCAAAAGTCATTCTGCTTCAAATTCCATTTCTGCTTTATAGTATTGTCATTTGTCATTCATTTTAACCATATATATATGCCTAACCAAACCGTGTTTATTAATATCTGAATGAATCTTTGCTCCACCAGATGTGTCTATGTACATTTATATGCATCAATTAATTACTTTGATTTTTATTTTCTTTTCTCACCATGACATGATGGTTTTGTGCAAATAGGCCAGTATGCCAAAGCAATATCTACCACTCTTAGGCCAACCCATTGCATTGTACAGGTAAGCAATAATAACTTCTATCAGCTTTACCATTCTATCTAAACTCCCAAGTACAAGTGCTTCTCTATTTTATTCTTAATGGGTTGTATGGATCAGTATCCTAATATTTCAAGTATCATTTTATCAAATGGACCACAATTTGCATTGCTTTAACATGTCTATTTTACAAGAAATCAAATGCATTTGGTGAGTTATAGTAAAATCAATAATTTACATATATAAGACCCTTAAGCAGGATGTAAGCGTAATGTGACCTCATAAACCATGCTTTGAAGCTGCCTATTGTTGATTATAACAGACAATTTTGGATTGTCAATTATGACAGGCTTGGCCATTTCAGCAATCTTAAAATAGCATGTGAAATGTTATTATGGTTCTATCTCGTCTTTCTCTAAAGATATCTTCATTCTTTCATTGGCAGTTTATACACTTTCTCAAACATGAAAGAAGTCAAAGAAATTATTATAGTTTGTGATCCATCCTATGAGGACATTTTTGAAGGTCTCTCTATCTCTCTCTCCCTCTCTCTCTGTGCACCAATGCATAGCACGTCTGTTCAATTACATGTCTGTTCAATTACATTTGTGGATTCCTTGCCTTTGGACATTTTGATTATACTTCTTTGGGATGTATTCAAGTTAATAATACATCAATCTTGTTCTCAGAAGCAAAAGACAAAATCAGTATGGACCTAAAATTTAGGCTTCCTGGGAAGGAGAGACAAGATTCTGTATTCAGTGGGCTTCAGGTGCAGATTGAATTGGAATTATGAATGCCTTTGTTTCTTTTCATGATAGCTAATTTGAGCAGGCTATTTTTGTTTGCAGGCAGTTGATCCGAACTCTGAGCTTGTTTGCATCCATGATTCTGCTAGACCTTTGGTGTCATCTGGGGATGTGGAAAAGGTTTGGATTGGAACTTTTTTATGCAGTATCTAATTCTTTGAATTTCAATTAAGGAGGGAATTTTAATATAAAGAAATATCTGATGGGTGCTGGATAGATTCATGTTTTATATGGGCATGTATTCATATTTGAAGTGTTATTGAGACAAGTATTCATGAACATTACTCATTGCCTATTTCCTGGGGCATTGGTCTCATTAACGTGAATTCCTAGTAAGATTTCAATCAAGTTCATCACTTGTTTGTGTTAGGTGCTTAAAGATGGTTGGCATATTGGTGCAGCTGTACTTGGAGTTCCTGTCAAAGCCACAATTAAAGAGGTCAATATTAATCACTACAAGTTACTTGTCTTATGGTACTAGCTATGTAGCCTATGTATATGCCTGTACCATGTAGTTATCATCCCTGTTTTTATATCTTCTCTTTAATCTGTTTTGATGCTCCTGTTTTTATCTGGTGGTGGTGAGGATATCCACCTGGTTTCTAATTTGAGCAGATTATTAGCCCTCACACTCTCAATTTATCATGTTGGCCTTGCATTTTGTTTCTTTATTCCTTCAGGCAAATAGTCAATCTTTTGTAGCGAGAACTTTGGACCGGAAAACACTATGGGAAATGCAGACTCCACAGGTTTGTCATGTCAAAGAAGTGAACATTTCTCATTTCATTCCTTTAACCGAAATTTTACATATTAATGCAGTGTCCTCTAAATTCTTGGTTTAGGTGATTAAGCCAGAGTTGCTTAGAAAAGGATTTGAGCTTGTGAATAGGTACATGATAATTTGGATTTCTCTAGTCAAATCGCTGATACAAGTTTTTGGTCCCTCATACCCAATCTCTTCCATGCATTACTAACCTTGAAAATTATCACTCCATGTGGGAATCCACTTCACAGAGAAGGACTTGAAGTGACCGATGATGTGTCAATTGTGGAGCACCTCAAACATCCTGTCTACATCACTGAGGGATCTTATACCAACATCAAGGTATGGCCACCCCAATTAGGTTGAATTTCATTTTCATCAATATTGTTTAAAGGGTATGTTTGGTTTTGAGAAAAATGGAGGGAATAGATGGATTTTTTCACCAAATAGGTTACAATATTGGCAAACATCATAATTTAATTGATTAAAAAACCCATCAT